ATTTTAATCAATAAACATACTGTGATATCACCTGTATTTAATTAGTTATAAATCATAACTAATAGCATAAAAAGTGCCTGTGTTCCAACGAGCTATTTGGCAATATGAATTTGGCAAAATGAGCACATTAATGAGGATAAGTGTGTCCCAAACAATCAGTACAGTGATCTTAGGATCATTACTTGCTGCAGGAAAGAAAGTTAGCCATACTGCATCTCTCCACACTCAGTGACCTCCCTTTGGGGTGTTCCAGGGAGGTGCTATTTGGAAGCTTTTTGTGCTGAAGGATAAGTAGGATTGTGATAAAGAAGGTGCAATGATGCTTGAATTCACTGCACTGCCTCAAACATGCTCTGGTCTGTGAAAAGGAGAATGGACAAGGCCAGGCTTTGTCCAAGCATCAGCTGTTCAGGGTATATTATTCAACAGAACACCTGAGCCTGCCTAACAGTTTGTGTATGTCAGGAGTGGCTGACCCCCCTCTCATCCTTTCCTCTCCTTCTGTTTAACCTTCTGGCCTTCTAAACTAGGCTGTTCCACCCATTCCTTTGGGCTGGCTCTGGTACTCCACACTGACTCAGTTTGTTCACTTGGAAAGAATGTGTTGGGCTCTTTTTGTTGCTCACATTAGTTTTATGCCTGAGTGCAAGAGCTGGTAGGACAGAACTGACAGCATGCACCTGGGAGCAGAATCAGCCTCAAGTGGCAGCAGGGAACCACCAGCACAGCTGTACCCATGACCTGTACCTTCTGAAACAATCAAACATTCCATAAAACTGTTATGATAAAAAAAATCATCACCAGGATCTTGGATTTTAGGCCTTCATTTTCGTTTAGTTCTCTTACTCTTGAAGTTTAAGCATGCAGAAAGTTTGTATAAGTTCTTTAGGATGAGCTGCAGAGTCAGAGCATTACTACAGAGACATATCAGCATGTATTCACTAGGAAACTCAAAACCTCAAAGCCAGAAAAAAACCTCAAAACAGGCATAAAATTCAGTACTTTTGTCAGTACAAACCTGGAATTAAGCTTGATTACCACTCCTAACTACAAAGCCAGTACAGATCTCCTAATAGCAAAATAGGAAGATGAAGCAAGGATTTTTTTGTTTCCCTAAAAAAAAACCAAACAATTTTTCCTCCTGTAAAGGGATTTGTTTTCAAGAGACTTAACTCACAGGACCAATATATGTCATCAGTGACATATTTCAATACTACTTTTCTAGAAAACTGTTTGCAAACAACACCTGTTTTTTGAGAGTTACAAGTGGCCACTACTCCAATGACAGCCTCAACCTCTTCACAGTTTGAAACCACAATCAATCAGTTTTCTGAATATCTGAAAGGAATTATGCAAACCATTTGCTACAGATGGAAGTGAGGGAAGCAAGAACCAGAGCCAAAAGAGCATTTCAGGAACGTACATGCAAGATTATCTTTTAGATACAATAAAACTATCCATCCAGGACTTCTCAGGAGTAGAAGTTAGCAGAGTCTCGGAAACTGGATATCCCAAAGCATGACCATGCTACGACACTTGACACCTACATGTGGAAAAGATACAACAGCACTGAATAAAGCACAGGGCATTTTGTCTCTTAACACCTAAGCAGTGAGGGAAGAAGACCAACCCATCTCTGACACTGCAGTTATTAATGCACATGTCCAAGAATAACGACAAGTCAGAAGTCTAAAGGGCTTCAAACTTCTTGTCTCCTAATTAACGGTATTACTGAAGTACTGAACATTTTGACTGTTTTCTGAAGGTGAAATACAAGACTGAAAGGGCCAGATATTCCAGAGATGTATCGCCAGAGATGATCACAATTCTCCCCAAACAAACAAATGTAGGTTCCACAACTTCTTCCCAGTACTGTTTATATTCAAAGACACTTTCAAGGACACACATTGCATGGGATTGCAAGAACAACCATAGAATTCTTTCTAGGAGCATTGAAAGAGAACATTATTTGAACATAAAAGAAAATGTGTGGGAAAAAATAGATATAAAGATTCTTTCAGGAGACTGTTAAACCAGTAAAAGTACATGCACTACTCAGATGAGCTTGCAACTGGAAAACTAGGATAAATATTAAAGCATACAGTTATATGTTGTTTACCTGCAAGGTATGAAGTTCACTGTGCTTCTGTTTTCAGACATATATTTGGGGGGAAGTCACTGCATCCTTTTTACGTGATCTGAACAATGTTAGCTTTTTTCTTGTTAAACACCCTGAAATGGACACAGTTACAGCAAAGTATGTAGTATGCTGCACTTAGAGCTGTTATGAACCGTATCCAAGACACACCAAAGTGACTTTGCACAGAAAAAAAGCAGTACAAACCAAACCTCAGAACCTGGAATAAGCCAAGTCAACCCCTCTGGTACAAACCAGCACACTCCTGCAACTGAGGCCCAATTACAAAATACCTACCTACAAAAAGACATTTTTGAGCTATAAACAGAGCATTTAATTAGGTGATCAAATAAGAATTGATACCCGTTTAGTATTTCCTTAAAGAGGTTTATGATAGTCTAAACAGAAAACTTTGATAAACAAGATATGCATAATAAAATCTACAGCAGTCCCTCTTGCTTTGTGGAGCATACTGTTGAATCCTAATGACTTCTGGAATTGGGCTTCAGAGGGAAACAGTGTCCATTTACAGCATTTTCTCAGGCAGAAGCAAAACACCCTGTGGCAATTATTATTACTGTCTCCCTTTTCCACTGTGTCTAGTATTTGGTCAAGAAAATCATCTTTAGAATAAATCTGAAGTATGTAGAAAATATCTATATTCAAAAAAATTAAGGATCTTTGAACTATTGGTGATCATTACTCAAGTAATGCACTACACTGTCATTAAAGACTGGACTCCTGTTTTTCCCAGTAAGTGTGGCCAAAAGAAATATGGCAAAATTTGAACTCAGAGAAGCAGAATGACATCAAATAAACAGCTGTAATCAGACAGAGGTCACTTGGTCTGTTCAGCCTAGAGTAGAGGAGACTGAGGAGAGACCTCATCACAGTCTGCAGCTTCCTCGTGAGAGGCAGCACTGATCTCTTTGGTGACCAGTGACAGGACCTGAGGGAATGGTATGGAGATATGTCAGGGGAGCTTTAGACTGAATATTAGGAAAATGTTCTTCTCCCAGAGAGGATTGGGCAGTGGAACAGCTTCCCAGGGCAGTGGTCACAGCCCCAAGCCTGACAGAGCTCAAGGAGCATTTGGACAAGTCTCGTGGTGGGATTGTTGGGGTGTCCTGTGCAGGGCCAGGAGTTGGACTGGATGACCCTTGTGGGTCCCTTCCACCTCAGGATATTCTGTGATTCTCTATTTTTCTAAAGATAAATTGATGTTTTAAGTCCTTTGTGACTTCTCCATTCTGGTTAATAACATCAGAAAAAAATAATTGTAGCTATCTGACTTGGGGTTTTATGCTTTGAAGGTGCCTTAACTGATCCAAATCTTTCTGTCTTCCAGACTGAAGGACCTTCAGTTACACAAGGAAGAGACTTTCTAGTTACAGGTAATCTAGAAAGCAGATGGGTTTATGGCATTAAATTCAAGCATGGCACATTTTCTTCTCCTATCAGCTGCTGTCCAGATGTCATGTCCAGGCCTCATGATGAGGAGTTAAAAAAAACCATCCCATGTTTACTGAAAAAATATACACACAAAAGTACTGGATTTCAGCTTTTTTCTTTTTCTGGATGTCATTTAAGTTACTAATTTCAAATGACATGGATTCCTAAAGTGCAAGTCCTTGTCAGAGAAAAGAGCCCTCCTCAAGCAGAAGTCAAAAGAAAACTAGGATTGCTCAGCCTGGAAAAGAGAAGGCTTTGAGGTGACCTAATTGGAGCCTTCCAGTACCTGAAGGAGCCTATAAGAAACATGGGGAGAGACTATTTACAAGAGCCTGGAGTGACAGGACAAGGGAGAATAGCATCACACTGACAGAGTAGGGTTAGCTTGGATATAAAGGAAAAAAATCTTCCCTGTGAGGGTGGTGAGACACTGGCACAGGTTGCTCAGAGAAGCTGTGGCTGCTCCATCCCTGGAAATGTTCCAGGCCAGGTTGGATGGGCCTTGGAGCAACCTGGGCTAGTGGAAGGTATCCCTGCCCATAGCAGGGGGTGGAATGAGATGAGCTTTAAGGTCTCTTCTAAACCCTTCCATGATTGTAGGAATTGTGCATGCAAAGGTGAACCTCTAGCAATGACAGTAATAAACAAATAACTGGAATGTGGGAAAAGCTGTCCTCAGGACTGAGAATTCTGTTTTTCCAGATTAGAATAAGAACAATTTAATTAGACGTGTTTGGGGCACAGAATAACAAGTGTTTAGAAAGCATCCTGCTGAGTGCATTTTATGCCCTGCTAATCAAGTATTACCCACCTTTATAAGCAATGCACATGTGCCCAGGGATTCCACTAAAAATACTTTTTCATCAAGACTGAATAAAATCTAATTCCAAGTTCTGGTAAAGTCTACTACAAAAATTATACTTCAAAGCCTGAAGGAAATTATGGTATTGTCTGCACAACTCAACTAAACAAACTTTGCTATTACACTAATGTCTAAGGAATTTAACTTAATATTATTATTACACATAATCTTGTAGTAATAAATTATATTTTAAATACTATTTTAATATCCTTCATTCTTCATACACTAATTAAGCCTCAATATTGGAATGGGCTGCCTGGGGAGGTGGTGGATTCACCATCCCTGGAGGTTTTCAAGATGAGACTGGATGTGGCACTTAGTGCCATGGTCTAGTAACCAAGGGAGGGTTGGACTCAATGATCTTTGAGGTCTTTTCCCACCCAGTTGATTCTATTCGTAACAGACCAGTTTTCAGGACTAGAGACTGTGGCAGTGAGCAAAGTAAACAGTTCAATGCCTTTATTTGCTGTTTCACACTCATCAGCTCTTGTGTTTTGGGGTTTTTTGTTTATTTTTGTCTTCAAGATTGGCTCTCCTGATTAAGAAGATATGAAAGAATACACACTCCTTCTCTTCTTGGCTTTGTGCTCTGCCAAATCTCTCACTGGTCCTTCATATTTTACACTAAAGAATATGATGCTCCAAGACATGGAAGATGATGATGATGACGACGACGATGATGACAATTTGCTATTTCCAACCACTGAACCAATTATGCCACTAATTCCTTTTGATCTGTTCCCAACATGCCCCTTTGGATGCCAGTGCTATTTAAGAGTTGTCCATTGCTCTGACCTAGGTAAGAATGAATGTTTCTGCTCTCTACTGACCTCTCCTTTGGAGGATTTGTCTTTTAAAAGATGAATTCTACAACATCCTGTGCATTCACCTATTCCTGTACTAGCCATTTTCAAAAGGAGCTTACATATTTTCCATTAGGATTGCAAACCATATCTAATTTGTGTCCAGCTCTTACTGCAATATAAAGTTTTTTCCAGTTCATAGGCATCAGTTTAGAAAATTAAAAAGCTGCTACAGCCACCTTTCATTAGCAATGACTTCTATCCACAGCAACAGAATGGAAAGACACCTAGAATATGCAACAAATAACTGTAAAACTGTTTAACTGATTGGGGTTAGTGAGTACATAATTATTTGCACAGATTTTTATCCCCTAAGAGAACAATCACAGAATGTGAAAATGCTTATATTTACATTTTAATTACAATTTCTCCTGTTTTATTTTAATTGCACGAAGTTCTGTTCAAACGGAGGAGCACAAACACTTGCTCTATCTTCTGTTTGCAATAGATGAACTGTTAGTCTCCTCTCTCAGAACAGAAGTACTTCATTCATAACTACAAAGCAACAGGTCAAATGACAAGAAAACAAAGAAAAAACAAACCACAAGGAAGTTGAACATGGGCACATAAATGGGATACAAACTATTCACTCAGCTTATCTCCCACCAAAGTGTGCATCACCTGTAACCTTTCAGCTGAAGGCAAATCTGCTCCTGTCACTGCTGCAGGTACATGCCAGTCCCTAAATGTGAATTCATTATTAATTGCTCAAATTTGGACTAGTGCTCATTGAAGTTTTCCCACGATTCAAGGCAATCAAAGGACTATGCTCCTGCCACTAGCACAGTGACCATGACATTGTTCCCACTGCAGCTCTGCCACTGTGCCAGACTTCATCCTGGGCTCCTCAGGGCTTAGCAACATTGAGTGAATACATAGATTTCTGGGTGGTTTTTTTCAAATGTGTCATTATTAAGGAATCAAAATAAACTTCTGCTAACAGCAGCAAACTGTGGTTATTGCACCTGGTCTACAGATTGCAAACCACTTTACATAAGTGCACACACAGAAAAAACCCTGTAATAGACTTTATCTTTAAATAACTGCAACCTATTAATTATGGAATAATCATTAACAAACTAGACAGCATTTAGCCTTTCATGCATCAACATTTCCATTGGAAAGAAATTTACTACCCCTTGCTAGTCTTTTCTGCTGATTCAAGACCGCAAATAGCACAAACTGCCGTGGATTTGTAACTGAACAGTGACCTGGATGGGAGGATTTATACCACTGGTAATTAAGTACTGACAGTGGGAGACCATCCTTTGTCCACTTTTCCTAAGCACATGTTTCTCAGCTCTGCTGTTAATGGTATGGCTGTGGCACTCCAATGGATAGGGCAGCACAGAGGAGCACTCAAGCACTGAGCAGAAATCTCTTACAGCCACTGCCACAGCCCTGGGCCTAATGGGGAACCACAGCTCCAGATTCCCCATGGGCTGCCTTCTCCAGGGACTGAAGCAGTTTCCCTGTAGCACAGCCTGTGCTCTGAGGCTTATTTCACAGATGCAAAGAATCTGCAACGACCACCCTCATTCAAGCTTTTGTGGTCTGTGGCAGGAGCAGTTCCTCCCAGAACAATCCACATATGTTTGTCATGCATTCTTACATCAGCTCTTTCTCACATTATCAAAAATTCCCTTCTACCTTTTGCTTCATGGCTGTTTGTATTTTCTTTCCCACCATAATCATCTTGCTGTTTAGCAGTTCATTTCTTTGACTTGTATACAGGCTTGTAATGTTTCTGTTTATGTCACACACTTAACTAGGTTTGACATCAATTCCTCGCAACATCCCACCAGATACTCGTATGATTGACCTTCAAAACAACAAAATTAAAGAGGTCAAGGAAAAGGATCTCCAAGGACTCACATCACTTTATGTAAGCTTAATGTTTCCCAAGATTGAAATCTTTTTTAGCAATCTGAAATATTTTGATACTTTAAAAAACAAGTGGTATTCTCCTTCTCCAACTGTATAGATAAAAAGTCTAATGTCTGTATATTTGAGTGCTCCCACATGGTATGAAGCAAACAGCTTTGAGCTGTAAGAACTGCTTTCTACAAGACCCAGAAAATGTACCATATGCATCTCACCAAACAGATTTTTCTGCCCTTCGTGTGTACAGAAACACTCCTTACATTCTAAAGACTGCAAGACAAGGGCTCCTTTTTTGTCTGCTTAGTTGCAAAACAACAGAAAGAACTTCATCTCACAGGAGAACTAGAATGATATTTTCTGAGGGTATTTTCAAAAGCACAGAACATACAACTAACACATACACCACTGAAACTTATGGTAGAAATCTAACTGACTTGAACAGAACACAGACCAACACTGAATCACTGCAGAGGTCAGGGGCTTTACTACTGTTTTTGTAGTATTTTTTTAAACATGCTCAAGTATGCACATACATGACAGGCTTCGAAAAAAGTATCACTGGCAACTGAGAAATCTAGATATTTACAGTCCACAATAATGAAAGAAAATCCATTATGTATAAGATGTTACTCTAGGCCCAGTACTCACGAATATTGACAGCTTTAAAACCTTCACTGTAAGAATGACAAAACTGTTCCACAACTTACAGCAAGTTAATGACATTCTATTCCCCATTAGAAAGACATGAAACACACATTAAACTAATAGAAAACAAATCTTTCTAGTTGTACTTGGTTTCTGAGCAAGATCTGAAAATTTACCAGACCTAAGTGCTTATGAATGAGCTTGGCAATTATTATGGCTTAAGGAAAAATAGGAACCATATAAATCCATAATTGGCAACAAAGTGTTTCCTATTCCTCTTGTCTCCTGTCTGGCTACAGAATGGTCTTACCAACAAGTTGGGGTAAACATTAACCGTGGTTTATATTCTGTGTAGAAGATCTGGAAACTAACCTCCCACAACTGAGAAAGCCACTGGAATTCACCAGCAATCACCACATTATGTATCAGTGACCACTTAATTATGTGATAACTGAAGACACTGAGCTGCTTTGCCTTTTCTCCTCAGTTAATTTGTGGCAAGGCTTAGCAACATTTGTACTGAGAGCGAAGTTTACTTTGTACAACTTGGCTGAGTACTGGAGTCTACTTAGCAGAGGCACAGATGGCAACTTGGATTAGGAAGGAGCATTTCCTGTTTATTTCCTGAAGCTAACCTCATTTTTTTTCTGAGAAAAAAAAATAAAAATATTCTGTTTCACTCTACTTTTTTTTTCCACAATTCCTGAGAGGAAATGGCTTATCAACATCTCCAAGAAGTAAAAATGGAACAAAAATTAATAGTCTAAGTATGAAAATGCAGAGATGTAATTTGATATGCAAAATCATTTCAGAAAACTCCTATTTTGTTGTCTGTTGTTGAGCAATGAGGAATAAAAAACTGCCCCAGAGAGGACTAGTGTACTGTACAGAAGAGAGAGACTTGAGTTCACAGGAGTTGGATTATTATGCAAATAAAATATAAATTCATGTGTCATATACAGACATTGACACCTAAGAAACTCAGATGAAAAACTGCTTTTTTATTTTGCAGCATTATGTTGAAATAAGAGGTAAGATTCTGAGTTTTGAGAATTTGTCTGGATTAAGGAATAATAACAACAAAGTATGTAACCCCCATGCAGTCCCACAAAACATTTGGATACAAACATAGTGGTTTGTCAGTTCTTATCATCCATTGGCACCTGGACAGCTCTGACTCATTTTTCTCTCCCCTGTAGCTGATGCTCCAGCTTTCAGGCTCCTATTTGTTTTTCACAATCAAGTGAACTGCCCAAGTATATACAAAGTGCTAGAGTTTGGTGGGATGGAAAAATAAAATATTTAAAATACTTAACTGTTGAAATAGATACACCAAATTCATGACTTAAAAGTCATGATCATAACATTCCTGGATAAAGAAACCTTTCTATTGCTCTTTTCATGTCTCATAGGCATTGGCTTTGAACAACAATAAAATCTACAAGATCCATCCCAAAGCCTTTGAATCAACAAAGAGGCTACGACGACTGTATTTGTCCCATAACCAGCTAACTGAGATTCCAACAAACCTACCAAGAACTTTAGCAGAGCTCAGAATTCATGCTAATAAGGTTAAGAAAATCCCCAAGGATGTATTTAAAGGAATGAAGTCTCTACATGTTTTAGGTAAGTCCAGTTAAATAGAACAGAAAATGTCTTTACCAAAAATGTAATATACTATAGATCATTTCTACTCCAACACTTCCCCAATGTGCAGTTTCCTCTGAAAGAGGTCTCCATGCTGTGGGACTACCTTCCTCAACTGAATTTCTAGGTGAAGTTGCTCATAGGTAAGTCAAGTCACAAGCCAAGTTAGACAGTGCCTTTATTCACTGAGAGCTGTGACTGTCACCTCTCAGCATGGGTAATCAAAGTTAAAAGTTAATTAGTGCTTAGAACACCAGAAGTCATAAATAAAATTGATTCAGCTGTTTATAACTTAGACTGTGCCATAAATGCTTTTTTTCTCCCCATTGGACAGAAATGAGTGCAAATCCTCTCAACAATGAGGGGATAGAGCCAGGGGCTTTCGAAGGAGTGAATATCTATCATATAAGAATTGCAGAAGCAAAGTTAACTTCAATTCCTAAAGGTATGCTTTACCTTCTCTATTTACTTATACCAATATCCTTCTAGATAAAATGCTTGATCATCTATTTGATTACTAAAATGTTCATTCTGGGTTTATTTTCATTACTACCAAACCACCTCCTATCTTTTTGTACTTTACACCCCAGATGTGTGTATGCACAAACAGCTCACACACAGTGCACACTCTCTCCTGCCTTCTCCCTGCCCGAGGGTTCACTCCTCCCACAGTCATACAGAGACTCGTCTCAGCAGACACAATGCAAGGAAATTCATAATAGGATGTCACTTCACATCTTTCACACCTCAACCTCTCAAAATCCTCACAAAGAAAGAATAAACCCCCGATATTTAATCTGGGTCATCAGAGATGTAGAATTCCCACTTCCTTTATGGACTTAAAATGTAAGTTCAAAATGTCTAATTTTAATTTTTAATGTTTCAAGTCACTCTAGCTCAAATGTGCTCTGCAATATAAGGACCTAATGCAAAACCCAACACAGAATTTTATGCATCTTTTGATGGGCATTAGCTAAGTAAAACTTCACATTAACACTTGATTGAATTCAACATAACATACTACAAAATCAAATCATTCTTTCATGTTAAAATATTAACCTGTGATTTGGAGGTCGCAATAAATTAAAACACTAACTTGACAAACTGTTGACCTCCACATATAAGAAAGTAGCATGAAAGAACTCAGTACAACACCCTACCTGCATTTTCTGCAGGTCAGTGGGGTATTTAACCAAATTCTCACTGTTTTCAACTACTCACAGCTACTACCTAAGAGGAAAAGGCAGGAAACAAAGCATTATACTCTATGTTATAACCTGCTTTTAGTAACAGGGAAACTAAATGTTGTCCCCTGTATTTATTTCTGGATCATTCAGATAAAGAACTTGTTTCTTAATAAATTTAATCTCTTCCTGCAGACAAATATGTGTGCATATATATATATGTGAATATACCTAAGTGTGCAGAAGCATCCCTGGAGAAATGAACACTAAAAAAAGCAATCCCAATAACAAAGAAAACCTACTCACCCCATTTTGTTCAGAAACCCCCATTCCTCTAGTGTCATCATAGTACCATCCCCTGTCACTTAGCACACAAAAACATACACAGAATGATTCCAGTTATGTCATTGCTCCAGAGAAATCTCCTGTAAGCAAATGCAGCATGAGGTCCAATATGCAGTGTTAGATACATCAGCAAATCAAAACCAAACAGGATTTCATGGTGAACTCACTCACCACAAATGCAAACTGAGGTTGTAGGTGCTTCTATCTGCAACTGTTACAATGACAGGTTTTTTTGGACAGTGATTTATAAAATGCATTTTAAAATCTACAGTGGTCAGGTGGGTGGTCTTCCTTCTTGATATTGCAGCTCAGACACAAGCGGCACCCGAGGAACTGCAAACTGGAATGCGAACTGGAAAAAAGCCCAACCAAACACACACACTCCAGAGCATGCCAGCTGGGTTAAAGGCAGGCTGTAAAGCATGGCACGTTCCTGCAGTACAGTAGGAAAAGGGAGCAGTGCTCTCCCAGGCCACAGGAGCAATGGGAACTTGCTTGGTGTCAGGGTGCCATCTAGACAGATTCGGGTAAAACTGAGCATAACATCAGCAAACAGAAATTCAAACTTGTGATAATCATTCTTTGCCTTCACTAAAAGGATACTGCAAAAAACTTTCCCCACTTCTGATCTTTCACTGGTGTTCTGAACTAGCACTACTGGGACAGGAGAAAACATTCTGTGCAGCAGCACATGAAAGAGCACAAATATCTCATTTTGCTTAGAGATTGCCCAGAGTTTTCCTCCCAGCTCACCTCATGGCAGCTGGAACAGCACAATTGGTACAGCATGTAGAAAAAAATTAGATGTCTTCAAAAAACTGTCCCTGCTTCCACAGGAGTAGGATTTGACTATGAATTGAAATAATTGCGCAAAACATACAGTTTACATCTTTGTTGGGTTAACTAGAAGTACAGGAAAGCTGTTATAAAGAAAGATAGCAAAATTACCAAACTTTGGACCTCTGAAATTGAAAATTAGCATATGCACTTTTTTTTTTTATAAAGTTACTATTTTAAACCAAATTATGTTGATGATTCTTTTGAATTAACATGCTTTTATCTGATACCCATTTCTTTGATGTAGACAACTTCCCCAGGGTTCTTCACCCAGTTTGAAACACAAGGCAAAGAAGCTGCTTGGAACGTAATAAATATTCCAACAAAAAATAACTTGGCTGGGTTTTCTCATCCTATGCATTTGTTTCTCATCAGGATTGCCCTCCAGTCTGTTAGAGCTTCATTTAGACGACAATAAGATCACAGGAATTGAACTTGAGGATTTCAACCGCTACAAAGATCTCCAAAGGTAAAATTCCCACGCAGAATGCTTTGATTTTCTGGAATGTCACACCTGGCAGGATGTCTTATTTGAGACTTCTCTTGTTAATGGGAGAAACAAGAATGAAATTTTTTTTCAGTGTTTTACTAAGAATTCCTGTGAATAAGATCAAACTTCAAAAACCTAACAAGTCCAGAACCCATGTTAGCTTTAGCATTACATCTTGTCTACTGTTTGCAACAGAAATGTGTGTTACGAGCAGCACCTGATTATAAAACATAACCACCATAAATTCTCACCTCATGGCACTTGGGTGTTGTTTAACATAATGTGGGTTTCATATGACACCTCTTAATATACCTCAAGGAAGCATCACATGGATTTCTCACCTTTCTCATACATAGGAATAGATGAACCTTTTGTGGCCACAGCATTTATCAACAGCAGCATTCAGGATTTTTTTCTGGTCTATTCCCTCCCAAATCACCCCACACAATGAGGTATACAGCAACCTCCATTGATTTTTAGTTTAGGAACAAAATTGTCTTTTAGCAACTCAGTTTATAGGCTTAGGAATCATAACAGCTTTTTTATTCCAGAGAAGGCCTAAGTGCACTGGCAGGAGATGTTCTATACACACACTCAAGAAAAATATAAAAGGTTGGCATGAAAAGGGAAATTGGAGAAAAATGGTAAATTATAACAGAAGATTCATTCCTCCTGGAAACTAGTCTGAGAGAAATACAATAGCTGGTACAGGAAACAACTTGCTGTTTCCAAACGTGGTGGGGCTTAAGGAAAAATGCATGTTTCTGAGGAATGGATCACCAAGGCAGGACATAAGGGGGAAATTCTCTCTGTAAAGCTCAGTTAGGTTCTCTGAATGAAAGAGGAGCCACTGAGCTCTCTTTAGATACCCACTTCAGTTTCTGAAGAAGTCAGGAATGAATGGAGAAAAGGGGATTGACTGCAGGATGCGCAGAAAGAGCAATTTCAAAGTGACCTGTGCCTGCACCTTCTGAATCACTTTCCAACAATGCAGGCTCAAGTCTTATAGCAAAAAACTTAGCTAAAGAAAAAGTGAAAGTAAGAAAGAAGGTGGCCCTGCTTGGTGAAAAATTATATTTTAGAGACAAGCTATATACGTAAAACTTCCTTTCCAATGCTTGGCCCTTTTTTGGCTATTTTTCAGAACAGCACTTCTTGTTACTGTGAGCATACTTTGTGGCTCTGTTACTTGGTAAAAGGGTATGGTTTATTTTATAAGCAGATTGGTTGATGTTTATAATTTTAACTCTTGCCACTGAAAGTAGAAAACTGCATACAAAATTGAACAACTGCTCACAGCACACTGAGATTAGCTGTGAGCTAATATCCTTTAAGTGGAGATTAAATTAAGCAGTAAAAAATACCTGTTAAATCAGTGGGAGTTTTTTCCTAACTAAGGTAACAATTCATCATCTTTTCCCAGTTCTTTTCTTCCCCTATGTGTATTCCTACGTATTTCAATCTTTTCAAAAAAAGCATGCTCTTCAATGCTGTTGTTAATCTCAATTAGTCTTTAATTAAATGTTTCCTGTCCTATTTCTAGGCTTGGCCTCGGGAATAATAAAATCAAAGATGTGGAAAATGGAAGTTTTGCCAACATACCAAGTATACGTGAAATCCATCTGGAAAAAAACAAGCTCAAGAAGGTTCCTCCTGGGTTACCTGAACTGAAATATCTGCAGGTCAGATACTGAACCTCATAGAAAGCTCTAGGAGTTTCAAGTTGTTTGAATTTCAAGCTGCCACACTCATTAGGTCATAACCAAAAGGCATAATTAACTGCCACATATATTTGGACATGACTCTCCTATGAGGAAAATCTGAAATCATATATGTACATTGAAATAAATAAACAAGTTCAAACAGCAGG